AATAGAAAATGTATAGCTACTTCCATATAAATTTAACAATAATGTTATTTACTTGCAAGTAAATTTATTTTCACTGTTAATTACACAACATTTTTATTTGCTCTTTTAAGGCTTGAATCGCATAAAGGAACAAAATGAGTATAAAAAAACTTTGGTGCGGTTCTTTGTGTGGTGTTTTATGTTAATTTAATTAGTTTTGTGTTAATCATTAATTTATTATTCGTTTTTAACACAACGTTGAGCTCAACTCGAGTGCTGTTGTTGTTATTGCTGCTAACATATTTTTCTAGAAAAATGGGCGAAAAGTGGAAAGGACTTTCGAGTATTTTAATGTGCCTTATAAACGAAATCATTTTCATAATTTCTCAGGAATTTGTGGTATGAAAATTGGTGATGTCATGAGATAAATAGATTCTATTAGTGCTCTATAAGGGAGTTGGGAATGTCAGGGGCTTAATCGGAAATTTAAGAGAGAAGGAAATGGTCGTGGCTTTTTAATAATTATTAGTTTAAACCAAGTTTAAACTTTGTTGGTTTGGAATGTTGGAAACTCTACTTACTACATTATTTATGGAACCTGGCAATCAGTTTTGCAATATATACATTTGGTAAGCTAAGTATGGGAAGCTGTAAGCTTCATACACAGTATTAGGATCTGGAAATGACCAAGTAGATCTGGAATCGAGGACTTTAGGTCGATTTTGCAATTTATCAAGTACCAAAGCACTGCATCATCGACCCACTTCCCCTTAACATTCCCATGTCATGCCTGTAAAAAAGAGATGAGCTTTCATTTCTATCATTTTCTACATCCATAAAAACATTTTCTGTTACTTAACGACGATTGGTCAGCAATGGTCATCGTTATCCTTCTGTATATACATTTTTATAGCCATATCTTTAAACAATGTCCGTAAAGAAATAAACAGAGATGTAGAATGTAGCAAATCTTAAAAGATAAAGAAGGGTCATTCGAATGGAAAATTTTTATCCAAACTCAATGACCAGAAAGCAAATAAAAACAGAAGGAAATTTTTTCCTATCATGTCCTTTCTTTTTCTATGGCGAAGAAGATGAGAAAAAGAAATGGAAATCAAATAGCGCGTTGCAGTACAATTTTCTCTCATCCGTTGGCACTGATGCTGCTTGCTTGTTGTACAGTTGAAATGAAAGGAAAAAATAAATATCGATGGAAAAACCACTCCCCGAAAAAAAAGAACCGAGAAAAAAAAATAAAAGAAAAAGTGGAGCTTGATGCTTCAAATATATTTCATCTCTTCACTTATTGCTGTGTATATTTGGGATGGCTTTGAGTAGTATAGAAAAAAATTCTGCTTCTTCTTCTTATTCCTTCATCATTCCATCTCTCCTTAGTGTGTGAATCTGTTTTTTATTTTTTCCCATTCATCCGGTGTAGATATGTGCGGGGGTAAGTTCGTTGGAAGACGACACAAAATTTTCATTTCATTCTGCATCTTATGATGTTTTCATATCAATTGGAAAGATACTTGAAACATCTTTTATCTTCTTGAAATTACTAAAACAAAAAAAAAAGAAATAAAATGAAATCCATTTTGTGGAAAAAGGATGATAAAGACTGAACAGCAGCTATTAAAAGTAAACATTATTCTTTGTCGTCTTGTGTATATTGCGAAAAAAGAGACACTTGAATGGAGATAAAAATCATGCAGCCATCCTAATTCCCTTTATTGTAAAAGAAATTGAAATAAAAAAGGATGGAAGCAGATCAGAAAATGTTTTGTCTTTGTGATAGATTGGAGGATATAATGGTAACAATAAAAATATTTTATTGTTTCAACAATGAACTTCTCGAGGATTCTTTATTGCTTCTTAACTACTGAAACTTCGATGTCTGCAAATCATGTTAATTTTTTTCTTGTGTGTGTTGTTGATGACATTTAGTCCTTATAATCCACATATGTCATCGATTTCCATCCTTCTTTACTCCTTCTTACTGATATATTTCTTTCTTCCTAATGACTGAATATTCAAGAAAAATAGGAAAGTTTGCAAAAAAAAATCTAGATCAAATTAATGGCCATTTTTTTCTTCCACTTCTTTTATTCTTGTGGACCCTTCAGAAAAGATATATCTCATTCGTTATTTTTTTGGCTCTTGCAATCATTGCGGAAATGACAAGTCATTTAGATACTTCTAGCTGTTATCATTCATAAAAATATATTTCATCCCCTGCAATTGTTATGCAATTATTTTTGGAATAAAAGTATACTGGAATATTGCTGCAAGATTTGATCATTAGTGCAATTTTGGAAGAGATGTTAAGTTTAAAGAATTTGAAGTATTTAGTAGAATTAGAAAGGTTTTTGAAACTTGAATTTTTTCAATAGAAAATGAGTAAGTCACGTTTGAAGCTTTTTGAAATCGATAAAGTCAATAAAAATTTTAAACATCAGAAAGTCAACAATTGAATCTAGTAGAGTTCTTAATTTTCATTAGGTTTCATGAATCTACGTCGTTCTCATCTTCATAAGCAAGTGAAGATAAGAATAATATTTTGTTAAACTTTAAGAACGTCGGCGTTTAAAGCATCAATTCCTTCTATTCGCATTCATAGAAAAAGAATTGAAATTCAAATGACTGAACGTAGTATATGTAGGTGTCAATGATCGCCGATGCTAATTAAGTTCATAAAATTATGCATCCGGTGAAATTTGCAAACCTCCACAACTCTATTCCGACATGTAAATTACATTAAATGTTGTAAGATGAAAATTCATTCAGCCAACAGAAGTTATACGCATAGACCTTTTTATCTATCAAAAATAGCACCAATGTAGACTAAGAGACTGACTCAAAAAAAATCTAAAATTTAAATTTTTCCTCCTCTTCACGCTGCATCATTCTTGATTCCTTAAAATATGCATGTTTCCTTCCAAATCATTGAATGTGATCTTTCAAAGATGCGTCTTTGGAAAATAATAAAAAAAGGAGAGACAAGAAGATTGTCCATGTTCAAGTGACTGTAAGAAATCTTAGTTGACGTATCTTAAATCCTCGATTATTTATGCAAATATGCCTGAATCTCTAAAGTATTTGCTGAAAATAGAATAAAATAAGAGTGGATGTAGTGTAAATTTTCGCAGCTTAAAGGAGCTTGCATATCAGCGACGTGAGAATATTGACAGCTATAAAGTCGACGCTCATATTGAGTATTTTGGATTGAATTTTATTAACTGTAAACCTTTGAAAGAGTTCTTCATGAAGGGGAGTTTACTTTTGATGTCACAAATATAAAGAGAGGTGAAGTTAAGGATGGATGATTACATGAAGCTCTAAATGGGTAATTCGCACTAAATTATAATCATTCCCTAGCTAGGGCAGTAAAACACTATGATGCTGACTAACGTCATTTATGAATGTGAATGATCCCTAACAGAATCCGTCTTATCTGAAACCCAAAATAATAATCAATTGCCATTTTACTTTTATTACTTTATTTTTTTATTCCAGAAAATAAATTCAAATACATTCTGATCTTATTGCACAATATTTCAAATATATACTCTTATACTCTTCATCTTACCAATTTCTGGACATAAGAAATACAAATAATTCTCTATTGAACATAAATACTTACATTAAAATTCTCTAAAGGGAGAGAGATGCACATAAAGTACTTATTGATAATAAAAAAAGGAGTTGAAAATAATGCAATATTTTAAAAGATATTGAAAATTTATTTCAAAAGTTATTCCACCTATTACTGGAATTGCTTTGTAGATTTTATTTATTAGATAAATTATTGATACTTATGAGCTGATAATAAAGGGGTTTTGACCATTTATAGATGAAATTTAAAATTTTGTGTTTCTCATGAGATGATTTAATAAGGAAACTCTAGAATTGGTATATTTAGGAATGGTCACTTTTAATAATTTCCCTCAATTGCTCTTGGGGATATTTCAGAAATCATTATAGTGTCAAGAGGGTTTTGTGGAACCGATTAGAACCTAATCATTGAAAAGGTAAAAGTCAAATCAATCCAATCTTGACAAAACATTAAGTAATTCGAATCTTATTTATCAAAAACCTAAATATCAATCTTAAAATTATTTTTCAATTCAAAATCAAATGTACAAAAATATTTTGTAAAGAAAAATCATTCAAATAATGAAGATAATAGATTTTTTTTTTCAGTTGAATAAAAGTTTGAACTGCTAGATTTTTTTAAAGAATATTTCCAACTCCAATCTAAAGATGGCGCTACATACTATAAGTTATAAACTATAAGATCTTAAATTCTAACACTTAGTATCGTCTTATTTGTTAAAGATTCAGTTTGGATTAAGTTTTAACGATAATTTAATAGAAAAAATGCATAGAACAATAGAAATAAGAGTATTGTGAACATTAATTAATTGTATCATGAATTTTAAATAATTTTAAAAAGAAAACTAATTTAATAAGAATAATTTTAAAGCTTAATGCTAAGTTCCAGGAATTTAAAATCTAAAATTAAACATTTGTGGTTATTCAAATAGTTTTAAGTGGTTTTATAAATAGAGCAATTTAGAACTACATCACATTTTCTTGATTAGCAGCATGGTAACGGTTTCTATACAAATCAACCATACTTCCACGAATAAATGTTAAAATTAACATGTAGAATCTGATAAAACAACAAATTTCAAACACATCAAAATTATTATAAAGAATCACAAATTTTAATTTTTAAAGTCAAAATTTGAAGAAAATTTTAAAATCTAATATTCGAGGGCTAAGAATCACGGAAGTTCAGAAGCAATGATTGTCAATTGAATTTCGGAGAACTTTCTTAATTTTCGGAGATGTTAATTTAGTAAATAACAGTCTTTGGGGGAAGAAGTATTTCTCAAAATAAATTAAACTGAATATAACCTAACTTATACTGCATGTCAATATTTGAATTCATCAATAAAGCAGCCGATTAAGGAATGATTTCTAAAAACGGCATATAAAAATTCAAAGTTTTAGGGTCAAGTGGATAGACGATCCCCCTGCCTCGAATTATGAATAAAGTTTGAATCTTTTTTTTTTGCATGAAAATAAAATATATTAAAATTAAAATACTTATGATAATCATAAAGGATTTATTTTGATAGTTTACGTATAGTTTAAGAAAATATATATCCGTGATATAGACAGGACGTAGTGAATTCTTAATTACAGTACATAAAGTGAAATCCAAAAAAGCCATGTCATAAAATCGCAAAGTAAATAAGTTATTATCTTGCAATAATCAAAAGAAATAAGAAGAACAGCATATAGAAATTCACTTAGTTTCAGTCAAAATATATAGCTGCAGTATAATTGATTTTTAACTTGAATGGCTGCAGTACATAGTCAGTGTTATTGCTAATTTACTTTTAAACATAAAATGTGATTATAATTAAGGTAAGTCTTTCGTCTCGTCTCGTTTCCCTAAAATAAAGTTTACAGCTTCTTTTCTTCATTTCGACCTAAATTTTATGCTACATCTCTCAGATTTTTAGTGTATGTCTAAAATTATACTACATCATCATAATTTGTGTGACATCAAATATGCATAAAATATTTTAATAATCCAATGATTCAGGATATTGATATTTTTATTCTGCATCTTGGTTCTTAATATGATATCAGGCTGTAGGAAAAAATACATCAAATAATTTTTTTTCTCACAAATAATTAGTTTTAATTCAATTTTCTATACATTAATTGCTAAATATACATTTATATATGTGCAAGTAGTAATTCGACGCTATATAGTCAGTCATTGTTTGTATTTAGAGGCACAAAGTATTATATGTTTTCCGTACTTTTCTGTTCTGTTCTGCTAGAAATACTACAGTGTGACATTTGATACACATTTAAATATAATTACTTGATTTCAACTTTAAAGCTGCTTCGTATGTCGGTAATCCAGTGCAATCCATGATTCTCGACATGTCCAATTTAATAATTCCATTTGCTTTAATCATATCCAAATCAATTGAGCTTCCGTCCCCATCATTCTCATTTACGATATTATTATTGTTTAGTTCCTCAATATTATTACCGTCCGATGTTGACGCAGTATTAGGCTCATTGTTGTTATTTAATCGATCATTCATTTCAGTCTGTGAAACTGACTGAGCAACATTCCCGTTAAAATCTAATTCCTTATTTGATGGTGTGCTGTCCATTGACATGCTTCTAGCAATTCCACTGCATCTTGGCGATGTAATCAAAGCTTTTTGCTGCTTCACAAACTCTTCATTGAATGCCATTATGCATTCATAAGAAGGTGGTCGTTCATTGACACTTCTCATTGTTATGGAATCGTCATTTCCATCATTCAGTGTCGTTATGTCATAATACTGAAAATGATAGTAATTTTTGAAATTAAGTACAGACTATCAAAATTGATGTATGTATAACATCTAAAGTGAAATAAATCTAGTGGCTAAATGGACAGTACGATAGTTAGGGGTCATTAGAACGCTTTTGATGACAGACTAGTTGATTAAGCTATAAGTGAACTTTTCTGAGTGTCATTTGGATCTTGTAGATTTGTTTTTGAATTGATTATTTTCTAGTTTTCATTTTTAATTCATGATTTAATTCGGATTTAATCCCAGGATTAGTTTCAAATACTAAGTTCAAGATCAATTCAAATTCAAGAGTACCATCAATAAAAAGTCACAGATCAAGCACAATTTGTGGAAATCACTGACAAGCTATACAGTATGATAGTCATGATATTTAATGATTCCAATCAATTCCAACAAGAAAGACTGCAGCTAAAGAGACATCATGTACCGACAAAACTGATTTAAATCAATGTAAACAGTATAGAAACAGCGATAAAGCTGACTGTTAACATTAAATAATTCAAAATACATTAATATGCATGAACAAACAAGAGCACTAATCGTGTTTGTGTGTGCCGACATGATTCCATTGTTCTATATTAATTCGGTTAAAAAAAGTAACGAGCAATACATAAATAATCATATTATTATCACCTGCTCAATGCTGTACACTTCCATGTTGTAATCACTGTCGAACCATCTTTGTTGCATGTACAGCGATGATCGCATTTTAGTCTTTCGATGGCAGCAGTAACATATAAGACAAACAATTGTCGATATCACAATCAGCATTGCGCTTAATATTTTAAATGAGAGCGAGAAAGAAAAGGAAGAAGGATAATGATGCTAGATAGTTTCAAAAAAGTTATTTCTCATGTAAATTTTTGATATCATAAATATTTTGTGACAGTTACTAAAATAAGTTCTTTTTGAAAAGGGAATAAGCACGAGAAGAGAGAAATTTTCACATAGTTACTTTAAATCGATACTCGAATGACTGAGCGACAACTCAAGGATAATTTCTGTCGATTTAAAAAATAATATACAGAATGAATAAGGAGAATTTATGTATTGTGATATTGCGTGTCGCTTATATGGTGGAGGCCCTAAAAAACTTTTGTAGCATGTTGTGTAAGATAGCTCGATTTTTTGAGCATAATTAAGTGTATGTCTGTCTGCCTTTCATAGGATTATTGACCTCATGTCTAAGCTTGAGGGCCTACTTATTACGTAGCAGGGGAGGGTGAAGAGGGGGACTTTTCAAATTTCTACTTCAGATCCGTTAATTTTCAAAATCTCAAACCTCATATAATCTGGCATTATTATAGCTTTCATGCTGTATACATAATGATTATGCGCTATAACCATTCACGAATGCTCAATTTTTACACAAGTCATTTTTCCTCTTTCGCCACAAACTCCTTTGCGATTACAATTCAACCTTAACAATATGCAAAAAAGTACAATAATAACATAATAGTAGGTATCTAATTTAGGGTAGGTGGAAGTAAAAAATAATAAAGTTTTCATCGATTTTTTCATAATAGTCTACTGCTTCATTCGTTAGCTTTTCGCGAAAAGCTTGATTTGTGAATTTTTTAAAAAATTCTCATGAAACATGTAATAAATTTTTAAATGGATGTACGTGTTCAAAAAGTCTATGACACTTGTTAGATATCTATGACTTACCCTCCCAGAAATATATTGACGTTTCCATGAAACTGACCAAAATCATTCCTGAATCCTTTCCTATGACCCGTACTATTGTAATAATTTAAGTAATATTCTGGATTAGCTGCAGAGCTTGACGTCAATGATGTCCAAGTGTGATTATTATTGCTTTGATTTTCATTTCTTAAACTACTTCCATGTGAGACTGCTACGAGTAGTGCTGCTCTATAAATTCCCATAATTGACACTTGTTTGAATCTTTAATAACCAGAAATTTACTTTTTTCAGAACTGAACTTTTGTGCCACAAAAAAACAATAATAAAAGCTTTGCCTTAAACTGAAAAATTATTCTTCATGTCCTTTTGAGCGTTCGATCAAAACTAAAAAAGAATGTTCGGCACAGCAGCGAACAAAAAAATTGCTCCTTTCCAAGTTTACCGAATGTAACGCATGTTCAAAGCAAGGAAAGAGAAGAAAAAATATTTACTAGGACGCGCGTATTTACGATCACTCGTGGTGCCTTCATTCGTCACTCATTTTCTATGCTCTTTTTAGTGTTGACTTGCTGTTGTGTTTGCTCACAGGATATTAAATAATATTTCTATAGATCTTTGACGTGTCGGTGGAATTGGAATTGTATTTATTAGCAGTTTATGTGGTTTACTGGATGTGCTTGTTTTCAATTTTTTGTGAATAAAAAATTAGATTTAAGGAATTTTGAACTCAATTTAGGTTTAAACAATAGATTTAAAATAAATTTTGGATATAAATTTAAAATTAAATTAAAGCTTAATCTAGGATTCAATATTAGATTTAGAAAATGAGTGTGATGTTCAATCATGGATTAATATTAAAGTTCAATGTTTAGATGTTCTATAAATAATTTCCAATCATCAATCATTGAGGACAAAGAAGCATATTCCCTGAAATTTTTAACTCCATTTACCTCAACGAACTGCAATATTGATCACTAATATCGATTTTCTTAACTTCTATTTCCAGAAAAAATTCAAGTTTCACATGTGCATGCAGAAAATACCCAACCAGTCACCAATGATTCCTTGATCTTAATTTTGATAAAAATTTATCAAAATCCAACAAATCGAACAAAATTGAACAAAATAAGATTAGACATTAAGCAGCAGCTTCAAGATGGCATTTACAACATCGCTAAAGAAATTATTATTTGGCCTTTTATTTGTTATGGGATTATGTTTAATGATATTGTATTTTAATGAAAGCCAAAGCCTTTTGAAACCAGCCTCATCGTTCCTGATGAACGGGTTTGAATCGAGACATAGTAAATTGAAATTATATTCAACAGGAGATAGTTCTAAAATGTAAGTTTTGAAACTCTTTAGGATTTAGCTTTGAGTTGCTATCTGGAGCTTAGTTGTGGGCATTATAGTTATATACTGGATTTTTTGTGGAATGACATCCATCTATTTATGTTCTTAAAAATTCAGAAACTTTAAGTCAATTCAATCCTTATTCGCACTAAGCAATGATTATCAAGAAAACAAGCAGTGTTGCATTCTGGATCAGATAAATTCTGAGACAGAAATTTCTTCGTAAAGATTGATTCTATATGAAGATAGAAAATCTAATCTACACAAAGATTATTTCTACATAAAGATTCTGTCTACATAAAGATTCGATGTAGATGTCTACAATTCTACATTCTTCTCTGATGTAGACCTGGAAAAAATGTAGAATTGTAGACATCTACATCGAATCTTTATGTAGACAGAATCTTTATGTAGAAATAATCTTTGTGTAGATTAGATTTTCTATCTTCATATAGAATCGATCTTTATGAAGAAATTTCTGTCTCAGACAAAAACTATTGAAGAATCTAAATTTTTCATCTAGTGTAGACATCTACATTTGCAACACTGAAAGCAAGAAGTCCACGACAAATTCATTCATAAGCCAAAAAAGATAGCAAAAAGTCATTCCAAGAAATAATATCATATTAACCTTTTATTCTATTTCCATTTCTTTCTTTCATCCTACATAGTCCAATAGAAAGAACGTGGACTTATAAATGTGTAAATCAACGCTGTGTACGGCAACATTATTCTAGTAGTAATAATAATAATAATGAGAAGAGAATCCCATTCTCAACATGTTCAATGTTGTGTGGAAGTTACACAAAAATCTGGCCCGAGCCAACAAAATCCTATATTGGAATAAGTGCCAATAGTTTTAGTTTAAATGATATAAAGTTTAAGATTAGAACTCCATTTAAGAATGTTGAGAGTTTATTAGAAAGTGCATTTTCAATTTTTTTGGAAGAAGTCAAAACCATTGTGCAGTCATTCAATGGAAAAGTTGATGAGCTTAATAATAAAGGAGCAAGTAGCACCGTTAAGAGTCAAAATAGTAAAGAACACTCAACAACTGATAGATCCTATCATTCTTCTCATAGAAGACACAACCTTACAAATGTTAATATTTTCCTACATGTTCTTAAGACATCCGATATTCACTTAACATTTAATACGGATGAATGTTATAATTTAACGTTGATAAGTAAGTCAAGCTGCTATTTTTAAGTCATACACATGACGTCTAAACTTTATTTATTCTTAGACGAGCATCAAACAATTGACGTAAGAATATCAGCGAATTCCTTCTTTGGAGCACGTAATGGGCTCGCGACACTGCAACAACTCATATGGTATGATGACGAAGATGAGCTATTAAAAATTATTGGCAGTGCTAATATTGCTGATTGTCCGAAATTCAAGTAAGTCAACATAGTCTCGACCAAGATAATCAATGGCTATAAATAATAATAATATTTATTATGTCTACAGCTATAGAGGTGTAATGCTAGACACATCACGTCATTATTTTTCGGTGGAGGCAATTAAAAGAACTCTAGTTGCCATGTCTCATTCGAAATTGAATCGATTCCATTGGCATATAACTGATTCACAAAGTTTTCCATTTGTATCTAAGAATTATCCTGAGCTTGCCGAATTCGGTGCTTATTCGCCAAATGAAGTTTATACTCATGAAAATGTAAGAGATTTAGCGAATTTTGCACAGGTTAGAGGGATTCAAATTATACCTGAAATTGATGCACCTGCTCATGCTGGAAACGGATGGCAATGGGGCGTTGAAAAGGGATTAGGGGAGCTTAGCTTGTGCATTAATCAACAGCCGTGGATGTCTTATTGTGGTGAGTAACCGCTAATATCCTTACAATTTTTCACGATTTTCCCGAACAAAAATATTTCAATTTAATAAAAAAAAATGAAAATAAAAACCTTGCAGCAATGCCAATAAAATTTTATTATGTCTATATTTACAGGTGAGACACCTTGTGGACAAATAAATCCGCGCAATAATAACACTTATAAAATTTTACAATCACTTTACGGAGAGCTTTTGGAACTCACTGGTCCAACTGATTACTTTCATTTGGGCGGTGATGAAGTAAATTTAGAATGTTGGGCACAATACTTTAATGATACAGATCTCAGATCTTTATGGTGTGATTTTATGTAAGTTTGAAGCATGTCTATCATCCTGATGGATTTTAATTAATTTTTTTTTCTCGCTGTTCAAATGTCTCCAGGCTTCAAGCACATCATCGTTTGACGTTAGCGAATGGCGGACATCCAATTAAAACAGCAGGCGTTTGGTCAAGTGCATTGACGAATATGCCATGCTTATCAAATAAAAATTTTGCTGTTCAAGGTAAGTTGAACCCCAGCTTGAGAGGGGGTTTGTCAGTGTATGAAAAATCTCAATTGATAGACATCATTTACATCTAACCCCAAAGCATATCATAACTCAATCAGATATTAATTGATATAAATTTCTATTCCCATCCAGTTTGGGGAGGCAGTCAGTGGTCTGAGAACTATCAACTCATTGATTCTGGATTTGATTTAATTTTCTCTCACGTTGATGCTTGGTATTTGGATTGTGGATTTGGCAGTTGGCGTCCGACTGGTGATGGAGCTTGTTCGCCTTACAGAACGTGGCAAACAGTCTACAAACATAAACCATGGCAAACAATGAGACTTAATAAGCAACAAGCAAAACAAGTGGGTTTTTACTGTTCATAATTCTTAAAATTTTTATTAATCTTTATTGTGATTCACTTCTGCAGATATTAGGCGGTGAGGTAAGTCTGATGATGAACTTTTATGTAATTTTACATTCAATATAATAATGTTCTTTATTTAGGCGTGTCTGTGGACTGAGCAGGTTGATGAAAGTACATTGGATTCACGACTATGGCCTCGGTCGTCAGCATTAGCCGAACGACTCTGGCGTGATCCACAAGATGAGCTGGATTTTGCAATTCCCAAAGAAACATTCAATCGTTTTTCGATATTTCGCAATAGATTAGTGCAATTGGGTATAAAGGCAGAGCCAATATTTCCTAGGTATTGCGGACAAAATCAGGATGAGTGTGTATGACAAATTTATAAAGTAACGATTTTGATACCTTGTATAGAATAGTTGACTTTTGTATAGTTTGACTATTTCTTTCTCCAAACTTGTCCTGTTTATCACAAAAAAAAATCTGTTTCCAGAATCTTCTTAACTTTGTTATTTGTTATTTTATTCTTAACTTTACGGATTCATTCTCTTTGATTTTTCAGTGAACAAATTAAATTTATAACATATAAATGAAAAGTTATTTAATGCTACTCGAATATAATCCGACCAACTATTATTTTTATTGACTGTTACTTAAATCATCTATTGATGCTTTTAGAATGTTTAATTACAAAAAATGATGAACTGTGTAATGAATTACGTGGAATCTCATAGGAAATTTTATACAAAAAAAGATTAATGTACGTAGTAAAAGAGTTGTAAAGAATTTGCGATTTTTAACGGTTTTTTTCATATTTGAATTTTTTCAATTTATTAAAATTCAAATTTGAATAAACCGTTAAAAATTTCAAAATTGATAATTTAATCAAGTTTATCCTCTTTTTCCATTGATTTGTGATAATTAACATCCTATATTTTGATTTATACACATTATTGGTGCATATTTGATTTAAAAAATTTTAAAAATCATTTTATTTTACACAAAAAGAAATTGAACAAATGAATTTATTTAAATTATTGTTTTAAAAAATCAATCCTATAATAATTAAACATAAATCGCCTCAATTGAATTTCTTTTCTTTAAGATTACATTAGATAATATACTATCATTAATTCAAAAAAAAAATGGTGACCTTACAATTGAAATAAGAGAATAGAGAAAACAGAAATGTTCATCGAATAACTTATTACTTAATTAAAACAAAAAAAAAATATGAAAATTATGATTTTAAAAACATCACAAGAAAATGAATAAAGAAGTTGTAATTAAATTCGTTAGTAAAATTCTAGGCGTTTGACTTAATCTAGCCATTGTTCTTAGTTGTTCTTAGCATTGTTGCAGGAAATAAGCATAAACTGACATTAGATTAGCATTTTAGTCATAAATCATCATGAACTGATATTAAAGAATGGACTCAAACTTTAGGTATCATTTAAAGACTCTGTTGGTAGAAAGTTTTGCAATGATGTCCATCAAACTTCATGATTATAGATCCTCCATAACCAATTCTCTGGAAATTAGGTAAAAACAATCCTCTTTTATAGAAGACATACTTTTAAATTTTAATAAAGTTTCTTAAATTCACATACATTTTACAATTTATATTTACAAACCAGACATTAATCCAATTGCTAGACATTATGTCGCCTCTAATATATCATATCACAAACTCTAAAGATAACATTAAGTCAATCAAGTTTTGTTGTCACGTTTATAATATGTCTGTTTTTAGATAACCGCTTGAAACTATTTTAAAACACAGACTAGCTTGAAAGGTCGTTCACTTTATGTAGTTGCAGTTAAGCACTTTATGCAGTTAAGTGCCTTGCTGGTCGAATAGGTAAGACGCTTGGCTCAAATTTGGTATCGTAACTCGAAGGTCGTCGGTTCGAATCCAGCCATTTCCAAATTTGTTCTTTTTCAGAAGTTTAGATACTTCGACTGCTTAATGTACGAGATGAAGCCATAATTGGGCATTTTGGGCAACGTTGGATTAAGGAACGGATCAGGAACTTGAAGTGTAGCGGGAGAAATAGGAACAAGAGCTCCAAGATTACCTTATAATGGAATATTGTCAGAACGGACCTGAAATGTATCACGTCACGCCCACAGAAGATTGAAACGAGAGCCTGAATTTAATCGAAACCTAGATTTGAAGATTAGAAGCTTGATTCTACGTCACCCATAGGGGCCGTTCACTTATTACGTTCGCATTTTAGCGGGGAGGGGGGGTTTGAAAAATTGTAACAAAATGTAACAAAGGGGGGGGGGGGTGTCAAGAAGTATGTAACGTTTTTTTCAAATTTTCCACCTTTTTAATGAAAATTTAAATGTTCTTAATAGCAACCTATAAAAAATTATCAAAATAAAATAAATTATGAACGTTCAGGGGGGGGGGGGGGGGGGTGGGGGTGTTGTGAGTTGTAACATATTGTAACAAGGGGGGAAGGGAGGGTGAAAAAAGTCGTTTTTTTGCGTAACGTAATAAGTGAACGGGCCCATAGTGATATGAAATGTATCACTAATCAATGTAAATAGTAAAACATGTATAAATACTAATTCCTTTTCTTCAATCTTCTTAGTCATGTAAAGAATTTTGATATTATATGATAAGATTTCTTTGACCTGTTTAATTAAGCAGAAGATCCAATCCAAAAAAATCAAACCTACATCTCAGAAGTCATTAACTTCCACAATACCCACTCACTCATCAGCAAATGAACAAAATAAACAGCTTGCACTTTTGCATGCACATAATGTACGTGCTCATATCATAATTAATTAATTAATTGCACTGAAAAACAATAATAATGTCCAAAGTCAAATGTCTGTTCCAAAGTATTAATTAAATAAGTCTTAAAAATTATAAAAGCTTTAACTCATTCCAGTGACTACTCATTTTGTAGATAATCTATTAGACAAAGACCATAGAGTAATTAAAAATTCAGAAAATGATCATCAGCAGCTACTTGATACTGATAATAGCTGTAAAATTAACACTCGTTAAATCTTCAAAAATTAACTGTAAGTGGTTCAGTAAACTTATGATTAATATTAAGCTATAAACCACTTAATTCTAATTAGATACAGAATATTTCAAAATACCAAAACTTGCTGTTTTTGACCCATATGATGAGTGTATGGCTGATAATGAAGAGATCTCAAAGAATGTCTATTGCGTAACTGAAGTTTATGTTCTTAAAAATGTGTCATCAGACACGTGGAGATTAATCAACAAGTATTCACATCCAACATGGGCCACATTTGCACATGATCATCTCCGATTAGGAATTTGTGTAAATGAATGTAAAAAGGAGCTGAATATGTTTGAAATACAAGATAGTAAGCATGATGAAAGAGGTATGAGTATTGTGGGAAGTTTGCCAAATTACATGACAAAACCAAGCCAATATGAAGGTCAAATAATTGATGATATCAATTACGGGCCATTAATCGATAAGTGTGTCAATAAAAGGATGAAAAAGAAGTTTGGATTACAAGTAGCAACAAGAATTAATTATTGCAATGATAATGAACAAAAGTCATCGATTATTGGTAAATTGAGCACGTGTATGATACGTGGCTACATGCTGAATCAGTTATTGAAGCTTTACAGTCTGATTTGTTGTTTTAGATTTGAACTTCCTGAATGCTTCATTGTTTACGTTCATTTGTGGAGTTGTTGCATTAAATGTGCTTGCATCTCTTGGATATGGTAACTATCAAAAGCCTCACATGTTTTCTAAGTCAATGACTGTATAAGATAGCTGTCAAAGTCAGCCTTAAAACTCCATTGAACCTACATTTACAGACACAATGTTATCTCATGCACAAGTTTAATTTTTAATGTTTAATCTACAGGAAAATCATCAAAAATCATTCAAAGCTTCAATTCATCAGAAAACATCAAGTCATTCTTAACGGTTAATGAATCATCTGATCTAAACATTCTGTATTCAATTAAATTTTACAGCTTATTACTAGTCATTATTGGACATGGAATTATGATGATTGGATACATGTTTTGTGAAAATGGCGCACTTACAGAAGAGGTATGACTGAAATTGAGGTGCAGGTCTATTAAAGATAATTAATTCAAGTATCATGTTGAAAGAAGTTTCAAATTTTCAGATAACTTGGACACCATTTACAATTCTTATAAATATGGGGCGGCTGTCTATCCAAAACTTCTTTACAATCGCTGGATTTCTTTTAGGGATTAAGTTTTTAAAGCCTGATTCTGAATTAAAGGCTGCTGGGCTTTTGAAAAGTATTTTTATCCGGTATATTGGGTTCGTATAGATGGGTGAGGCTAGTTTTGGCAATGACATGGCTTTAAATCTTCAAAGAGATACTAATCCAAAAAGTACTATATCCATTCAACAGGTTCATTCCAGTCATCATACTTGTATTCCTTGTGAGTTTAATGCCCACAAGTCTCCTGAGAACAGATCCATTCCTTCGATATTACACAGAAAAAGAAGAGATCCACTGCAAAAACAATTTTTGGACCAACATATTTATGATCAATAACTTTGTTAAGCCAGACGAACCAGTAAGATCTCTAGCTAATCTCCAGCCTTTATAATCTCACGATCTATCAAACTTTTCAGTGCCTACAACACACATGGTATTTAGCAGCTGAATTTCAACTTTTTGTTATCGGACTTTTAATTATTGTATTAATCAAAAGGTAGTAATTTAGAATTATTTGACCTCCTGAACATAAGGTCATTTACGTCTTATTATTTTTCTCACAAAATCATTAATATTGAATTAACACTTGTTGCTCATTCACATGAATATTTACGTCTACAGATTTCATCGCTTTGGAATTTTCATCGGAACTGTTTGCTTCATTGTACCTGCAATATGGACTGTCTACAAAGTTCATCCATCTTTTCCTGGATTTTTTTCACCTGAGTAAGCATGATTTGGGTTCAATCCCAGGCTATGTCTAATTTTCGAACCTCTTTTTCCATTTCACCGTTCTAGTTACGAAGCTCGGTTCGTGTGCTGGGTGTAGTTTTGAGGTCTTTGGCACAGAATCTGCCTCCTTTGCTAGGTATACAAGGATATACTAGCATCTGGATGACTTCCTTACGGCATCTTGTGCACACGAATTGTAACTAGGTTCATTGCAGGGTACATCAGGTCTTATGACGTACTCGTGTCTTTGCAATGTGCAGAGCTTGCAAGTGATTCGGATCCCACTATAAACTGTAGGGTGTGGTACAATAGATTCTGTTCTAATTTGAATCGCAGTGCCTCCAGCTGAAAGGCTGGGCCCTTCACACATTATTATTATTATTATTATTAAGCATGATTTATGTCTAATGATTCTTTACTTACCTCCTTGATATGTCCCCAAAATGATATTTAAGCATTAGCACCTGACTTTAATCCATAGAACTACAAAATCCCTTTCAGATCTGGTCGCTTTCTTTTCCGAAACAACCTCTTCTACCTCAAATATCACCTACCAACCTATGCGAACTTTGATAACTATTTTGTAGGCTTACTAGGATCACTGCTTTATAACAACACAAAGATTACTCAATCTAAGGTTTGATAAACTTAATTTAATACAAATAGCTGAGTATTGCAGCATTTTCCTTTCAGTTATTCATAAAGTATTATCATTTGATCTGCGTTCTGTCAGTCAGCATATATGCGGTTGGTCAAGTAATTATTTATCTGACAAATTTCGAGAAGTCATCCCTATTATTCACGATATTTTTAACGGAATCGCGTAAGCTGTGGGGACTAAGCTTGATAATCTTAATAATTGGATGTCATGTGAATAAATCACGTACGTTACTCATCATATACTCAAAAGATCTAATTTTAATTGTGTCCATAATTAGGAAATTCAGCAGCAAAATTCCTAAATTGGAAGGCAACGGTACTCTTGGGAAAGATAAATCTTGAAGTTTATCTGCTGCATATGTTAATAATGTTCATACTGCAATTTGGAACTGGACCAATTCGTGCAACAACGATAGAATCGGTAAGTTTTTGATAAGGTCTCTAATCATTTCCAAATATTAATTTTGTGCAATTCCTTATCATAGCTTAAATTCAATTTGTCATCGATATTTTTGACTTATGTCGTAAGTTTCATCGTCCATGTCTTCATATTATTACCATACCGAAAGATAATAAAGTTGTTTACGTGATTTTCGGACTTTTATTGTTGTGACAAAAAAAAATCCCGAAAGTGTTGCTCCTCGTTCCTACACACAATAATGAATCATTAGCAAAAACAAATCTTTCGGTTATAATTCACATATTTTTAGTCCAAATAGCAATTATTTATTGACAAAATTCTCATCAGCAGCAACATGCTTCTCACTACTTTTACAAATAAAGGCAACTTTTATAATGAAATTTGACATCGACAATATTTCGAGAATTCGATTGTTTTAAGTTTAAAAAGATTTCAATAGTTTGTAATGATTTTTAAAAACTTGATTTGATGATGAACTGTGTGGATTTAATTACTCTTCTTGAACATTCCTTCTGCTCCTTTCTTTAAGGTGTCAGTTGCATTTCCGATCAAGTTATCGACAGCTTAAAATATTAATATTAGGTAAATTAGTGTCTGAGAATGTGTGGTTCAAGGTAGATTAAATTTTAAAGGTCAACTGAGTTTGTACTTTGTCAATATTGAGAATATGGCAATAAAATGAAACTTGTGGGGACAATTATGAAATAAATGAATTTCAGTCTAAACGAGAATGGCTAAATTCGGCACAACTAATAGTCTGATACATAAAAACCATTTCTTGATAGCCACAAAACCTTATATCAATGGTGAAATACTCGAAAATGTCACATAATAAATGTATGTCTGTGATAAATGACTCGTGTAAGTATGTTTAGTAGATATTAAATGACTAGCCAAATATTTTGTCTATGAACAACTTCGAAATTCTAATTTTTAAGGGCTAGTGTGAAAATTTGCATTAAAGAGCTGTAATTATGCTTGAAAAGCTTTTCACTTATGATTTCTACTAGCACAAGGAAGGTAACTTTTGGACTGCTTAAAACCTTTAGTTATATCGTAAAGCACAGATTAGAAGCACATTGTTGCATTCAACAGCTGTCAGTAATCTAGCGGTTCATCTCTTGGCATTGATTATTTCAAACTAAGCTACGATTTATCGAAAAATTTCCACTGAATTTTTCATGACGCATCAATTATGACACAGCATGTTATGCTCACAAAATATTTTACAGCTATCCTCAGCCTGCAGTCTTTAGATTATTCATCAATCTCATCTCAAATATTGACCTAATTCAAATAGTAAGCATTAATAATTACGTACCTGACTCATGTTTTAAGAAGTATGGCCTGATGACTTTGTAGTATACAACAACACTTCCATTATTTTCAATAGGAGCCATGCACCAGACAAAGAAAACGCATTTAATAAGCCAGTAGAAAGGTATGATTCTAGTGATGTAAAGTGAGAAGAATTCAATAGTTGAGAACGTAGCGAAGATCACCCTGTAATGTAGACGAGGAAATAAGAAGAGGAAAGAAAGAAAATTATTATAAATTCTTAAAATAATATCCCTCGAAAAGAAATAGAGAAATTTGCATACCAATATGTCAACCATTTAGTGTCATCTGTCTTTTCTTTTGTCTCCACTGCTTTCATTGAAATATAGGCTGGATAAGCAATTCCGATAACATTACACAAAATTTCAGCTGCATATCCAAAAGCTAAGTATAAGGCAATGAATCCAACAAGTCCTGCAAATAATATAATTATAAAAATAATAATTGACACATATACAGATTTATGGCTTGTACCATAAATAAATGATTTTTGCTTGACTGTCAAGTCCCCATGCTCGCCCCGTCCACTAATAATATCTCTAGCAGTCGCAATGCTATCAAAAATTAATCCTGTGAACCCTTCCATACTCTCCTCAATTAATTTCTAGACTTAATTAACTAATCTGACTTTAAGCTATGCTTTCTATTCAGTCACAGCGAAATAAAGACTAGCAGCCAGTACAATATTTTTTTATATATTTTTATCATATTCTCATGAGCTATATTTAACAATGAAAAATTTCACATCAAATTTTTGTGCTCACAAAATTTTACAGTACAAAGATATTGTTCACATAGCATATTTGAGCATTGCTGATCATTTTCATTTGCCACATTCTCAATTTTTTTAAGCGCTTGCCTTACTTTTTGCTCTTTGATAATTTTTTTTTTATAATAGCCGAAGTGTAATTAATAAATGAATCTCAATTAATGAGTATATTGAGGCATATAAAGGGTTTTATAGGGCACATATAAAGCTATAAATGATTGCTTATCAAATTATCATAAACATTAGATGAGTCATTTGTTGTTAATTCTTAAGCTGCAATTAGAATTTCCAACTCGAGATATATTATTTCATCTGTTGCTCTGTGACGCAGGTACTAATAAGCATGTATATGTGGATATAGCTACTGAGATACAGTTCAAAGATTTTACTCATCTAATTATCTCTTTTATTCGAGTTCTACTTAACTCTCTATCTCTTGGATGTTTGTAAATCTTCTTAATTTGTTGCAACAATCAGACAAGCACACAAGCCGAATGATTAAGGCAGTATCAAATGAATTATTAAGTAATCGAAAGAAAGGAAAATTCTTCTTTTATTTTTTATAACCTTGAGAAAGGAGAGTTCCAGCGCATCATTACGTTTCAAGTGCTGTGATTACAATATATTTTTAGTCATGCACGCTTTACTTTGATAATCGCGTGGAAAGATAGTCGAGCATAGAAATAATCAATAATCTATTAACATAAAACTAGTTATGCTTACCACCAAAAATGTAAATTTTATTCACGTTTGTCTTTTCCTCAATCATTTTAAAGTATTTGGTCCATGGTTTCGAATCATCAGATAATTCCTTCTCCAATTGTTGTTTGTAAGTATCGAGCTTATCCATTTTGCAGAAGGAGATGTATTTCGTTAATAATTTTAATAATTTTACTTTAAGAGTTGCGGCCGTGCACTTACTGCCGTTGAGTTGAAATGAGGGGGGATTATAACTTTGTGAAAAATCCAATTTTAAAAGTTCAAAATTTAAATTTTTAAAAAACGTTGTTGTCATTTTACAGAGAGTAATCATTCTTGCAGGATTTATTGAGCTAATCTCAGATATCAATTGAATAATAATTTAATATTTTGTCATATAAACAAGTTTTAAACTGAGTTTAAGTAAATAAATAAGCCCAAGAAAGTGTAAACAAACAACAACGAAATTTTGAAATTTGAATTGTCGGCAAGTAACGAGTACTTTTTCCTTATATTTTTGCAGTGTTGATGTATCAGTGTTTTTATCTAGAATTTTAGCTTTCAACAAACAGATATGTTCCTTAATTGATGTTTTTTAAAACACACTTAGAAATTAGTTCAGGTTCCTTAATCATTAATCACTTATCCGTGCATAGAAACAAGTTGAGTGCAGAATCTCAACTCTGTTCATGTTTCATCCATCATTAACTCGGATTAGTTTGTCAGGTTCGGAAAATTTTTTTCATTTAGTGAATTCAATAGTTTATAGCCCGATAATCATTATTAAAACATATTAAATAGATTAATAAGATAGTGAAGAAAACGGTATAAGATAAATAATATTAAGGAAAAGCGAATTTCAAAGAGTATTTAAGAAAAAATATTTTGCTTCTCGGTTTTTTCCGCGTTCGTCCATTTTTTAAGTCCCACATGTTCATCGCCCTAAAATTTGAGATCCAGTAGAATTTTGTGAAATTAAATTTGTTAATCGCGTACGGTATTACACCACAAGTCGAAATTTGTTTATATAAGATAAGGAAAATAAGGTGATTGTACGGGAAAAAAAGTTGAAAAAAGTCTCTTTGCTTTAATTTGATGATGATAAAAAGAAGTTCAGGGACGACGAAGAGAAAAAGAGAAAAGAAAGAAAGAAAAAAATCAGTCCATCAACCGTATATACTTTTCCGCGACTCGACAAAACAATCGTTTCTATGGAAATTGAAGATTCTGTACAAGTGAAATTAGAGGCAGCAAAATAAAAATCCGTTTCTCAAGCTTAACTTGCCTTGATTCACATCAGACACAAAAATAATATCATATCAATAGCTTTGTTTTCAAACACGTAATTTCTTTATTTCAATCTCTCCCAATATTAACGAATATTTTTCTTCTCTTATCTTCTCAGCAGATATACTTGTAAATATACAGTCTTGCTGTGTGTCGTGTATATAATTAAAAATATACCCCAAAAATAAACTAAACTCTTGTTGAGAGTGCGCTAAAAGGCAAATTTTTAGAAAAGATGAGTCCACAACAAAAGGCGTCAGGCGGAAGTAGTCGCAAATCTGGAAAAGGTGCTGGTCAGAAAGATTCAACGGTTGCTGCTGCAGAACAGAGCAACAATCAAAATTCTACGACAAATAAGAAACATAACAATGCCAGTTCCAATGTTAATAATACTAATATTGATCAATCGAAGACAGAAAAAGAAAAGCCACATATAAAGGTGAGTTACAGTTACATTTTCAAGCTTACTGCTTACTCTCGCGTACGTACATGTAATACTATTGCAATAATGATGAAAGCTAATTTTCATGGTGGTGTTTTTCATTTTATTTTTGTTTACTTACGGTTCTTATTATGAAAAACATTCACCTAATTTTGATAAAATATTAAATTTTAATCTCGTTCTCTCTCTCTTTTGTTACATTTTCTTTCTTTTTTCCGCATCTTGTCTCGCTTTTTTGTCCAATACAAAAAACTGCTAACGACATCGCAATTGAAAAATGGACACACTCAAAAACAAATAATAATTGACATCATCGAACAAATAACAATGAAATCGTGCAATTTAAATAATAGCCAACAGCCGAACAGATTCGCATCGCTCAAATTACAGAAATCAAAAATGGGACTCAAGATCCTACACGTGAGAAAGTGATCCAGTTGATGGAAGCAACGGAACGTTCAGAAGAAGATGCTTGCTTGGCATTATATGAATGTGATAATGATTTGGAGCGTGCTGTTATCTATCTGTTGGAGAATCTTGAAGTCGGAGCATTGATTACGACTACCAAGAAGAAGAAAACTAAAGCAGCATCGGATGGCAATGAGGGAGATGAATTTGAGTCATCAAATACGAACAATCGTGATTCGAATCGTAGTGGTAGGCAAGGAGATGATTCAAATGATCGTTTTAAGGGACGTATTTCGAATCGTGGTGGGGCTTCAAATCGTGGACGTTCGCGTGTATCGGGTGATACAAGAGGAAATGATAATGGTGAAGCTGGAAATAATATGAGAGGAATGAGAGGTCGTGGGGATGGTACAAGACGTGGGGGATTCTCTGGAAGGGGTCGCGGGGGACGAGGAGGTCCAAGAGTACGTGATCAAAATCACCGGATTAATAATTATCGAGTTCAGCAACCAGAACATCAACAAGAAATTGATAATTGGGATCCGGCATCGACACAAACTACTAATGACACTAAGAATGATGAAACATGGGGTGATTGTGGCGATTGGGATAATGAAGAGTATACAGGATCATTGTCTGATACTAAAGTATTTACGCCATCGACGCAACAAGATCTTTCAGCACCGCCTGGATTGGAACAACAAATTTTAAATCCACCACAGAATGATCAGTATAATCCAACGGTTGTTTCAAGTGGAAATGCAAGTGGTCAATATGGTGATTTACATTCGACGACTGCAGCTCAACAATTACGACAAGCACTCGAGATGCCGTCAATGAGTCAGCAGCCATCTGCGCCATTATCAGCCGAACAATCTCAGTATTTTAATACGTTAGGAACTCAGAATACTAATGCAGCCTATCAGTCATCGGTGCAATATCAATACAACGATCAAGTTGTCAGCAATCAAGCTCCTCGTTCTCATCAGCAGCAAGCACAAGTACAGGCCCAACAAGCACAAGTACAAGCACAGCAAAGATCCAGAGCTCGAGTTCCACCGCCCTCGAAAATTCCCTCGTCAGCTGTCGAAATGCCTGATGTTGATTTACCAGTATATCTTGATGTGCAATTTGGTGGACTTGATTTTGGTACGGGAACTGAAGAGCCAACTTATGAGACTGAAAAATATTCTCAAGGACTTGATCAATCGACTGGTGACGATTATACCGCAAATAAGAGTAATGTTGTAACGAAAAGTTCACAATCAGCTCTGAGCGGTCTACAACCTTCTCAATTAATTCAAACGGCTGAATCTATTTCATCATCTACACAAGCTGATCTCTCAAGTAGTTACGCTCAACGAAATCCTTCGTCAATGGGAGCTTCAGGTCAATCTACACTCGATCAATTGACTAAAACTGGTGACATTTATGCAAACAACGCGGCATCTGGAAATGCCTATCAGAACTTGTCGTATCAATCTTCGCAAAAAACTGGAGGATATCAAACATCTGGATATGGCTCGAATGCATACAATTCATCGCAATCGACAAACAATTATCCGGCATCGACAAACTCATACGGATATAGTCAGAATTCCTATCAGCAGCAAAATCAAGGCACCCAAAGTGGTGCTGGACAGCAGCAAATTCAATCGACTGGAAATGTTTCTAGCAATTCGAGCAATCCAAATCAAGCTACGTCTGGGTGAGTTTCATTCATTAATTATTTATACTCTATTATTTATCATAGATCGTGTTCCTCGTTTTTGTTTTATTTTTGTCGTTTTGATTTTCGTCCCTAATTTAACATCAAGAACTGTTCAATCTGACATTTTTTTGACTAATCTTTGATTCATGGCGCATTTTTGCTGCAAACATTATTACCTTTTAACGGTTTTCAAAAATTTAAATGAACTGAAAAGAGATGAATTCCAAATTGAACTGATTTTAAAAATTCAAATGAACTCAAATGAAATGAACTGTTTATAATAAGTTCAAGTTTAAATTGCAAAACATTTTAAACAATAACAAGCAATGAATGTTGAGTCATGCAAAAATGCGTTAAAAGAGAAACAAGATGATTAGAAAAGAGTGACTAATAGGAAATAAATGTTATTTCTAGGTATATGGGCAACCAATATCAAGGAAACCAAACTGGCTATCAAACACAACAAAGTTCATACCAGAGCCAAAGCGTCTATGGAAACTCGAACAATATCAATAGTAATTCCGAGTTAGTATCAAATTGTATCTCTTTTCTCTTGTTTTCTTTTTTTAAATTTTATATTTTAGACCTCTTTGGCATTATTTTGTTCTTAATTTTACTTTTAAAACCAAAACGAATAATTTATAATCTTACTAAACTTAATATAATTTATCCTAAAAATTGAAGTCTTTTTGAACACAAAATTTTCTTGATCTTTATATAACAAAAACCAAACCATTTTCTATGAACGCTCAGCAGGTTTTCTGGTAGTATTAATTCGCTAACATCAAAACTTAAAAGCACTCAAGGAACATACGACAGGTAAGTTTTGATTCCGCTCAAAAAAAAAGCGCACACACTCACTGATTTATGCTTGAAAATAATACCTCAATCTAATTTACGTTGTGTTTCTAACATGAATGTTCTTCCTTAATTTTTCTTTTTTGTTATTTCTTATCTTCACTCTCTTTATTATGATAATTTTGACTCATTTCTTCTATTTTTGAGACATATTTAAATTGACTTTGATTAATTAAAATGATGATTCATTCTTTTTTCTTTGGGGATTTATTTTAGTTCCACAAATGCTGTTAGTAGCGGTACTTCATCAACAAGTTCAAACACGGCAATAACTACAAGTAGTATTAGTACATCTCTTGGTCTGAATAGTGCAAAGTCCACGACTTCAACGTCTGGAATGAAAACGGGCTCGAGCCAAGTGAGCAGTAGCACGAATGTGACAACAAATACGTCATCTGGCGTGGGGACAACTGCAAATACTGGAAATGGTGCTAGCAATGTCGTTCAAAATATACCGCTAATGAGCTCGTATATTCAGCCAGCATTCTATCAGCAACAACCGTATCTTCATTTTGAGGACATGCAATTAGTTCAGCCTAGAATGACACCAATGACAGGATATTATGAATATCAAACTCCAACAAGCTTAGCTGGCGTACGAAGCGATGGAACGGCTTCAAATCTTGCCTCAGTTGCGTATCCAACGATGTCAGCTGATGGACGTTTTGCACGTACTGATAATAATTCCAGTCCTGTACAGTCTCAGCAAACTGCTGGATCGAGTCAGTTAATGAATCTTCCACCTTACGCGTACTTTTATGGAACTAATGTGATGCCCGCTGGAAGCTTTCAACAATTCCCTCAAATTTATTCTGTAAGTCCAAAAGCCTCGAAATCTTGTTATTTCCATTAATTATACTAATGAGTGCTAATTAATTATAGCAAATGCCTGCCACGAATCCAAATGCTGGCCAATTTGCAAAGCAATCAGCATACAATAGTGGATATGGCTCAACTGGTTATGATACATTAAATCAGACTGCTCCTGATTACAATAAGACAACTTATCAAAGTACAGGACAACAGACTAAAGGTCATTCAGCTACCAATCAGTCTGGGACTAATTCAGACATTGCATCGTCGATGTACAACAAGAGTCATGTTACATTGAATAAGGTTAATGTAAGCAAATTTCTGTGCTCAATTTCTTATTTTAAATCGTTTTGTGTACGAACTTTGAACTAATGTCGATTATTCTCTCAATTTCTTTTAGTCTTATGACAAACAGTCCTTTCATTCGGGAACGCCACCACCATTTAACTTAGGCTCACAAGCTGGATCCCAAACACAAGCTTTCCAACAGCATTTGTACCTTCAACCAATGGCTCCGCACCATAACATGCATCAACCAATTCATCAGGTGAGTCACGATTGAGACATTCATTAAAGTTTATATTTATTATTATCAAACCCAGACAAAATTTAAAAAAAACCCTCTCTTTTTCGTACATCTTTTATAAATCCCTTCTAACAAATTATCATTTATCATCTTACTCATTCTTTATAATATTAAATATGTTAACCAATAAATTTATCGGTGTACATAATCTGTATGAGAGAGTTGTGTGCGGCGATAAGCCATACAAATAAAATAATAAAAATTTCATCCTTTTTGAACGAATTCGAGAAAATGCTTTAGAAAATTTGCTAATGTAGTTGACACAGTACAGTGATATGTTTCTTAATATTATTATAATTATTTCCCTAGTTATTTAATTTTTCTTCTATATTATTATTTTTTTGTGCTAGATATTGAATTTCGGATCAGTTTTTAATTGAATTTGCACATTTGTTATGTGCTGTAGCATCATATTTTATACTTTTTAGCGCATTTTCCTAGTCTGAGATGAGTTTTGTTCATCAATCTGTCGCGTGACTCCAGGATTAGGCATTGGCTTAGTGCTAGAAATTTATCCAAGTCGGTTAATAGATCGTTATTTTTCAAAACTTTGAATTTTTTGAAAAATTGCTGGTCGATGATTTTTCAAATATTTACTGACGGCTAAATTTTCAATATCACTTAAAGTTGTCATGAATGGAAAGTGCGCTTCTGTGGGTCACGAACGACTACGTCTTTGCTAGATTATTATTTTGACGAGCTTACATGAGCCTTGATGTATGTCTAATAATACGAGACGATCGATTTTCTTATTCTCATTATTTCGTTGAATTACATCATGTGAAATAAGACAGTCGATGATTATATGTGTGTGTAATACATAAGTTCATTTATTTCATTATATCCTTCATTTCTAATTTATATGCTTTCCTCTATCCTATCACGCTGCATTAAATCTCTTTTTATTTTTTGTATTGATCTTTATTTAATGTGTAAATATCACAAAAAAAAAATCCTTATTTTTCGTGAAAATTATTTTTTTACTGGATCTTGGACTGATATAGCATTTTTTTGTTATTTTTTATTTTCTCCCTGATTATAGGATTATTTTAATTTTAATTACTAAGAGAAAAAGTTTATCGCGTGACAAAAAATTTTATCAAAAATTTTTTTTTATATTTTATGTCCAATTCTAAACTGAGCCTAAAAAGTAGCCAAAACATGATAAAACAAGAAATTTGATGAATTATTAACATTTATAATAGTTGAAAGAAAATTAATTCTTTATACTTTTTGAGGCTGTATAAAGTTTATATAATTTTTTCTTTGTAGACAAGCATGAATTACCATATTTTATAAACAAATCTAGATGCAAAGCATTGAAAAAAAAAACTATTTGAAAAATAAAATTAACAAACACACATTATACAAGATCCAATTCTTCCAAAATCAATATTATCTTTTTTTATTTCTTTTTTAATATTAATGGCGCATTTCACTTAAGTAGACGCTTCGGTCTGGATCATTTTACTGCTTTAACTAATTGACTATATGTTTGAATTTGGGGAAATATAAAAATTGATGATGTTCATTTGAAGCAAGAAAAAGCGTTTTGACTTGTCCCTTAAGTTGACAGACCTAAAAGTCTTGTGGAATTTTTATCTGAGTACCCAACAGAGATGCTCTTGGTCTGAGAGATTATTTGTCTTTTTGCCATTTGAAAGTTATTTAATTTTATGCTTGAAAAGATCATGCATACTACCATAATTTATTCTTTGTCTATTGAGTATAACTTAAGATTCAGGATTGATTGACCAAAAAGTTGCTAACCTTCATGAATTTTGTATCAAATTGTATAGTTTAGAGCTAAATCCTAAAATAAAACATCGGATTTATGCTAAATCTTGAGCTTTACCACAGGATTAATTTTATATCCTTGGATTAAATATCCTTTTCTCTTAAATCTGCCATTTAAATCCGAGACAAATGATTTAAAGATTCTTAATATTTAACTTTTGATTCTTTGGAAATCTTTGAGCTACTGACATAAGTCAATGATCCTCAAAACGAGTAATACCAAAGGTCAATCAACTTGTGACAATTTTCATGTAAATTCAAATAAGAGTCTGATTAGGATTTTCCACTTGACCTTCAATGGCTGTCAAACTTGTTTCAGAGCATTACTGGTCCTCTAATGTTGCATAGTTCAAAGTTCAATGAACTAAAAACTGAAAGGATTTGAGAAATCTACTGATTGATCTACTTGAGTGAAATACCCTCCTTATTATTTTAATACTTTTGTTGATTTTTAATTTTTTGCAAGAAAGTAATTTTTTTAAGTAATTTTCTGTAACCTTTTATTCTTCCCCCGAAAAAAAAACAAAAATTCTAATTAATTTTTAAAAAAAATCTCTGATATTTTGGTTTGTAACCTTTCCCGAATTTATTATTTTTTTTATGACACGAAAACTTTTTGTTTTATTTTCCTTCCACAACAAAAAATAATAATTTTGAAAATACCGATGTGGACATCCTGATAATATAAAAATATATATATCAATTACAAAATTGAATATAGATGGAGGGTGGACGCATAACAAATTCTCGACGGGTAAGTCCGTTTATAATTTAATTACACAATTTTATTTTAAGTTGACTTGCTTAATCGGTTTTTAATATTATTTTGGTAGACTTTATTATTTGTTTTTTTTCGCATTGCTGGGATTTGTTGAGATATTATGTAACACGTCTGGGGTTTCCATCATTTAATCTTTGGTCTGATACAGAATGAATCAAAAGTTGACATTTTCAGTTGTTCTCTTGGATTGTAGTGAGCTTTCTGAATAAAAAAGAAGTCTAAGATGAACTTCTGAAGGTGTAGTAAGCTTTCTGACAAAGAAAGAAGGTCTAGATTGATCCTTAGAACACTCCTTTCTTCCCTCAAACACTCAAATTCGTTCTAAATTGCTTAAAATCCTAGAATTATAAAATTAGTCGCCCTCAAAACACTTTTAAAGCGTGTAGACTAATCATAAATTCCCTTTGCATCCCTTAAACTTACATAATATCGAAACTACCCCTAATAAGCCTTTATTTAATTCAATAAATTAATTAGCTATGCTGAATGGTACAAAACTCAATTCTATAAAGTTCTAGTGAGAATATCACATAAGAATCTTGAGGCTTAAATCTTTTATTTTATTATTATTATTTTTGTAGATATTGAAAGAAAATTGTGCATGAAAAATGAGGAATTAAAATAACTTGAAGCAATTTGCAAATTTTCTAAATTCTCGCGAATCACTCGAAACGAAAAAAATAAAAAACTTGAAAAACTTGATGAATTTTCGACGATAATTAACAATAAATTTGTTCTATTTAATCTAATACAGGATACAAACAGCTCTGGACAACGCCAACAAGCCGGTAGCCAATCAAAGTCTGGTTCAAAGCCAGCTTATTCGACATCAACATATTGGAATACACAGAATTAAGAGCACCATTCTCGCACGTACATCATCCAGATGATATAAATTAACTTTTTTGTCTCTTTTTTAAAATTCACAAATTTCCCTTTTTCTTTTCCTTTAAGTAACTTTTTGGGGGATGAATCCTTTATAAAAAAAACTGATGAATAATTAATGACGACTTTTTGTGTAAGATTTTTTGAAGAATACAATTTATAATAGGGTATATAACATAACACACACACAGCATACTACTGAGCGAGCATGAAGGATTAATGATGTAACATGAAAAATTTCTTTAATTGGTGAAACAAATAAATGATATAAATAATACATTAAAAACAATATACCCGAGTAACACACAACACTTTATAAATACAAAAGTAATAATAATAATAATAATTTTTCAGTAATGCAAATTAGTTCCATTATAAAATAATAAAAAAAAATTGAGGATAAATACACACTTTTTTGCGATAGAAGATAATATTGAAGATACAAAAAAAAATTAAACAATTTTCTACTGCAACAAAAAAAAAAGAAAGAAGAAGAAGGAAAATCTTTGTGTCTGTTAATTTTTCATGCAAAATCCATAAGAAAAAAAAATACTTTGAATGAATTATTGATTACACATTTAAACTAAATTTTAAGGAATTATAAGCGAAAAACAAAAATCTGAAGATGACAAAAAATAAAAGAAAAACTGATGATAATGAAAAATTAGTGAATTCAAATTCATTTTAAAAATACTTTTAACATAACTTTAATGTGGACTTTTGGAATTTTCATGAATTGTGACTTTTTGGGGTATTATTTGACTTTCAGACTGAATTTGGGCAGTTTTCTATGTGAAAAGTTGATTAAGGGTCATTCAAAAATGACGTCAATGGAAAATTGGGCATTTTAGACCCTCTTCCACCAACGAACCTCTATTAATAGATATTTACATTAAAATTAGTGTCACGCAATTTAATTATATTCTAATCTGTGCGTGGTAAATTAGACAATACACAAATTCATACTTAAACAGACTCAAGATTGTAATTTACATCAGTTTGTGCTTTCTCTAGTTCCAATCTCTCAGCAACATCCAAATAAGAGCACACAACGTCAAGATTCAAACGAAAAAAAAAAAAATCATGTTGCTAAGAACTAAGCATCTTAGACTCCGTACTTTGACCCCGAAATACAATACAATTAAACTTGGATCAAAGAATGTTTATTGTTATGAATATGCAGCAGTCTAGAATTTTTATATAGAACGTAGAAAGAAAGTGATGTGTGTTCTCAAGCGGAACTAAAGCTATGCATTCTTTGTGTGAATGGACAGTTATAGATAGTCTGAATGAAGTTGCAAATAATGGACTTTAATTATCGTTTATAAATGATGTCTAGGACTTTTCTTGACCAATCTGCTGGTCCAAGCATCAAGAAAACCTAGCCCATATATACTGAAATCTTACTGACTTCAAGCTCTACGCCTTACCTGTGCATTACATATGTTTGAGTTTAAAATGTAATTTACTCCAGCATCAACTTAGCTGTCAAAATTTTGTCATTAATCTGACAAACTACACATAATCTGCTTTATTACAGCTACACAACCTTACAGCAATTCCATATTCCTTAAAAAAAACAATCAACTTAACAGAAATATGAATCAATCAAGATTCAGACTCTTCACGCGATCTGCGATGATTCCAGAATATAAATCATAAGTAATTTTCAGTTCCATTCCTACTTACTTCTTATTCCTATTACAGTTTGACAGACAAAAAAAGTTTATATCCATCCACATCACAATGAACATAAAAAATAATTTTTCTACAAGCCCTTGCTTGATGTCAAGTACATTTGTGTATAAAACAGCATTGAAGGCTACATGTCATTTTTCTGAAAGCCAAGTCAGTCTTTATTGTCTTGTTCCTCCAAAGCATTGCATTATACAACATTTCTCTCTATGATCTTTTCGTTTTAGCTGTTTACAGTTGAAGCATTAAGATATATTTACTTGAAAGTGCTCAAGTTCAATATACGACTACTCTATGACTTAGACTACGATCACACACAAAAAAAACATCATGCACCTTCAAGGTCTATGGCACTCTTGAATTGACCATAAAAGGATTTCTTTTAATGCGAAAACATTAATAAAACCATAGAATCGTTATAGGAAACGGAAAAAAGTGTATACAGCAAGCGAGCTTGGTATGTTTAAAAGCTTTAAAGCCATGCTTTTTGGTATTGGAAATGGCAAAATGAGTTCATTACGACGCAAAAACATTAATTGAATATTTTGGCGAAATAGCACTTTTTTTTATTACAATACCGGTCAATTAATAAGGAATAAACAGTTTTTTTGGAAATGATCTTGACCTACATCTCACCTCAAACAATTAACATTTTCGTATCTGATACATGCAGAGAGTTTGCAGACATTTTACTTTTTGTAAAGGTTCCAATAAATCTAGTAATTTATTTAATGACTTTATGTTTTTGGCTAATTTATGTGAGGATTTTATGAACTACTCCATGTTGGATAGAGTTAATAAATTTGCAGATTTTGAGCTTCCAAGTTCATGCTTTATAGACTATGAATTTGATGAATTTTTGAAAAGGATTTTTAAAACATCAAAATAATTCGTTTCAAAGTTTAACGGTTTTCAAAAATTTAAAATTTACCGGCTCTCACAAATTCAAAATTGAACGGTTTTCAAAAACTCAAATGAACTGAAATGAAACGAATATTTTTGAATAGTAACGGTTTTCAAAAAATTTTAAATGCTAACGTCTTTCAAAAAATCAAATGAACTGAAATAAAACGAATATTTTTGAATAATAACGGTTTTCAAAAAAAAATAAATTCTAACGTCTCTCAAAAAATCAAATGAACTGAAATGAAACGAACTTTTTCAAAAAATTCCTTACTGCCACAAACGATTATTTTTAATCCACTAAAAAGCGTGCTAAGAAATTGCAAACACATTAGTTATGCTTATTAATGAGGCATATTATTAAACACCATAGTAATCACATTCTCGCTATAAAGTCAGCCCATTTTGACAATAGATGACCTCGGCATTAAACTATATAACTTTTTTTCATGACTGATTCATGCTTTGCGAATTCAATTCAAATGTTTTTCTTATGTTCGAGGCACAAAAAAGTGGCATCTAATAATCGCATGAAGACAAGACATAATAAAAAATGCAAATCATTTTCGTAAACTGTCTAATGACTGAAATATAGTAGCAGTTGTACCATAATGAGATGACCATGATGTCATATTATTTATGCGACGGACTATCTAATGTCTTTTAGTCCTCAACCAAACGACATTAGTGCTAAGGTGAAACATAAAAAGAACAAAAGGTATTAATCATATTGCAGCTATTCAGGCATGTCGAGACCGAAGTTTTTAAGTCAATTTTGCAGCACAAATATTATGAAATAGATCAGAAATAAGGTGACTCTGACGTCAATTGACAATTCAATTATAGGCTTATAGAAATTAATTCTCTTAATTCTTTTATGTCATATTACAGCACTCAATATCCTAACTTCTGTGTGTGCTATCAGATGCACTAGATTATTGACATCAATTTCCAAAGGTTTTACTCTCTTTTCAAGGTGACGTCAATAACATTTGCGAAGGACAGAATGTCAGTTTCTCTGTCAGTCATATTTTTTCTGAATATGATGGATATGACTTGCTTTCTATATGGCTTCATTGAACAACAATGAAAGAATAAATTCTGCATTTTTATATATTATATTTCTCTTTATTAATTATCATTATTATGAAAGAGCATCGTCTCCAACGTAATATTAACATAATACAGTATGTATGAATATTATATGATCCACGCAATTTCTTCGTACCCATTCCTCATTCATGGAAATATTATATATGGTAATAATCCATTTAGAATTAGGTGTGATGTAAAAGATTGTTAAAAGCAGAATATGCCGATTCTAAATCGAATAAAAATTGTCGTATTTGATCGTCAGTTAACTCATCGGAAGCCTGCATTGAGTTTAGTGTATCCAGCCATGTCCGTACTTTATCCTTGCCTTCAAAATTCTCGGGAATAATTGATAGTCTGCTCATTGTATCAACTAAATCTCTTAATTCAGGATGCAATTCATCCATAGCTTTAATTCCCAATCTCAATTTGTCCATAATGGTAATGAAAAGTGACACAATGTCTGCAATGCATTTACTTGTATTTCCTTTATCGTCTTTTATTGTTATTGGTCTATCTTCGCGTATTCTCTCTAAGGCTGCAGGACAATCGAGACGATATTTTTTAACAAAAGCATCAATTGTTGGAAATTCATCACCTTGTATGAGCTTAAAGGCTACTTTATATTGAACAAGTAGCTTTGAACAGGCAGCTGTGTATTCTTGTGGTGTAACACAATCTCTAATGTAGGCTTTCTCGAGATTTTGGAGTGTTGAGACGAGTGCAAATAAATCAGCCATATTATCGTACTTCTCTCGCTCTCTAGCATGTCTGAATAGCTTTACTTCTTCATATAGTTCTGGCTGCATTTTGGTATTTTCCTTCAACCTAGACGAAACAAAGAAGGAAAGGAAAAGGTATTAGGATATTAATAGAGTTTGAATCATGTTTAATCTGGTGATTATTGTTGGTTTATTGCTACTTACTTATATCTATGTAAATTTAATTAAAATTTATTTTCTTCGATGAATCACTTTTTTTTTCACGAACAAAAACAATCAAAAAATCTGACTTTAGCAAGTCATAAACTTCCACACTTTGAACTAAAATAGGTATTGGGGGTTTATAAGTCAAATGTAAATGCACAGTTTAAAAGCTAAAGTTCTTAAAATTTCAGAATAGGTTTTCTATATGGCTTAATAATGCATAAGATTTATTACTGAAATTTGGAAGAAAATGATTTCTATTCGTTTGCATGGAAGTTTATGATCTTTATCAATAATGTTTTTGAAGTCTCCTGGATTTTTTAAAGTTTTATGTCTAAGATGAATTAACATTGAAAATTAATGTCTTTAAGGAAGTAAAATTTGACATATTCTAATAGTTTAAATGAGATTTGTTAACTGTTAAGCTAGTATTCAGCCTACAGTCTGGAAATTTCTAAAGTTTCATAAATAATATTCATTTTCGCACGGACCAAAAGTTTATAAATTCAAATAAAATTCCGTTAAAATCTTCCATGCGATTCGATGATTAATAATGATGTAATGACATTTAATTAAATTACATATTAAGGTAAGACAAATAGTATTACAGATAATCTTTGAATAATTGATCAATATAAAATAATCCTGATTAACATAATGAAAGGGAAATCTCCAAGCTTAATTTAATTAATAGTGGATAATCGCTTGTAAAAAAAAAGAAATAAATTTCATTCGATATCACATGAACGAATTAAGCAGATATCTGCAATAATTAAGGAGATTATATTCAGTAAGTGTATCCAGTCCACATCGTCTACCTCACGTGCATACATTTATTTATTTACTTTTTTTTCCTATTTAAGTCAATGCACTATGCAAAAAAAATCATAATCTTCAAGTCAAGAGCGTTCACTCTTGTGCTGTGCTGTACGTATTTATTTTCTACAATTAACTTGCTAATCGCACAGAATAATAAATAAATGCATTATAAAATTGAGCCTAGAAGAATTCACAATTTTTATCGTGCCTCTTACTTACACAAACTACTTTTCATGACATTGATGCTTTATTACCAAAGGTTATTTCCGTATTTTATTCAATGCTTTCTGAATTATTATTAAGATTGAAAATAAACTGATTGATTGAGAGAAGTACCTTGAGATGAAAATAAATAATAAACACATTGATGCACAATTGGAAGTGCTCTCAACACTTGCAAGTTTAATTATAATTTGACTCGACAGGATGTATCCAGAGAAGGATTTACCGGTATACATCTATGCATCCAGCTTTTACTTTTCAACTCTTTATGTCCAAAGACTCACGTTTCAAGAGCAATTCCTGTTTTAAGGAAATAAAATTTATACTGACACTCATGACTAATAAGCTTTACCTATGATCAGGCACACACCGATTGTTGTTTTTCATTTTTAATAGTATTATTTTTAGTTAATTGACCTTACTCAACTATGTGCGTTGCATTTTTTATCATGATGTATATATTTAAAAATACACTGCAGTGCTACTAGCAAGCCTTATAATCGTACATAGGATTAGTAAAACACTCGTATTAAGAATCATAACCCCAAGTTCTATAAACGAGCTGAGCTGAGAGCTCAAGGAGAAAATTTTAATGAAATTTTAAAAAACTTGTTAGAATCAAATATTGAATATTGCTGCTTCGAAGGGAGTAAACCTTTAATAGTCAATTAACAAAGCTTTTATTTGCCTTTACATTTTAAATAGGCATTTAACCTTGTTAACCTCAATTAAGCTTTATACTTTCTTTCTTTCGTGTAAATATCCTTGGGAATAGGAAAATTTTCTGTAACGGATGTAGAACGGAATGAGTTTTCTAGAAATTTCAATTAATGTCTTAAAGTTGACGTCGGTCCTTACGATTCCTTGTTTAAGTCAAAGAGTTTTCGAGATTGATTCCGAGTTTAATTACAAAATCTTAATCTAGTCATCAACTTTAGCAGGTATTCATATTTGGATTTATACTATTAAGTCTCTAAATCTCTAATCATTTGGAGAACTCGAGATTTCAGATTACCCTTTCGGTCACGGGATAATTGTTTATTAATTACAAAGTTGCTTCCATTTTGCTCGACATTATTCTTTCCATTTTGATTTTGAATCTTAAATAAAATCAATTTGCCGTTAAAACTGTAACAAAGCTTCATCCAAACTAAACTGACTGATCTTATGACTATCTTTAAATGCCTTGCCTAGCTTACCTTGTTAGGAGCGCATTAAAACATTATCGCCTCTTTTTATAGCTCTACACTCTAAGCAGCAGTCCCTCTTAGCTATATACTGATGCACAGATCTAAAAAAAAATCTCCAAACTTGTCAGCATGTCTAATGGACTTCCACAATAAAACCACAAAACCCAAAAACTCTTATGAACTTCCAAAAAAAATAAATGAATGTGACTACCGCAAGAGTTTCCTTGCCAGAATAAAAAAATATCGTGCCTATAACTGACTCACGTCATGAAGAAACGCAAAAATTAGTATTCTTTAGCCACATCATTTAATGTCTTCAGCTCATCACCCTGCACAAAAAAATGTACGTAAATTGAAACTAGATGAGTAAGAAATAGTCATGCAGAATTGTTCAAGGTCATTATCATGGCCATGCGAATTTAATTAATTGCATGCGAAATGAAAGGAAGTAAGTGTATGAATCAAAGTATCAATTACAATCTATACAGTTTGAATTTATCTAAGTTTACATGCCAGTATCATTTCAATGTTCCTTACTGACTCAGTTGGTGGTCTGTTGGGTATTTGTGATTGTGCGAGGGAAAGGAAGTTTGAATTATTGTTGTTGATCCTGGTTTTTATGGTTTGATTAATTAGACTTCAATTGAATTGTAGTTGAGGGACAGAAAGTATGCAGACACAGAATCGATATGAACTCTGAACTTCGTATAGCTGCAAATTCTTAGTTTTATTTGGTTTATGAAGATCTACGTGACCAATGTATGCTGATCAAGACAAGGTTCCTGCAGCAATTAGTCTTAAGATCCAAGATCTATCAATTTTGTAAATGTAGCTTCCACAGATTTACAGCTTCAAGATCACACAAATCTTTAGTGCAAAAAATTATTTTGAACTATTAAAAAAACAAGCAAATTGACCTTAAAGTCCATGGAACTTAGACGTACGAGCTTTGTTTTGGAATTGTTTTTAAACATTTTTTTAATGTGTTGTTGTTGATAGGTTTATTACCTTTCTTGGAACGAATTGTTTGATGGGAATCCCCGGAAAATTTCCAATGCTTCATATTAATTTGCAATGCAAAGCATCAAAAGAACATGAAGTTCTGAAACCTTATTAAGAATGCTATCATATCACAAATTGTACTGAGTAAGGGATGGTTCATAAATGACGTCCATTAGAAAATGTTATCGTTGGATCCCCATTTATTTTTTTGTGTCTAAAGTCACTGAGAATCAGAAACCCTCGTGTTCTTAAAATTGTACATCATTTATGAACGATTCCCTATTTGAAATTCACATTTTCTAGCTCCATGTAAACAACACTAAAGTGTAGAATAACCTTCAAAAATGTCAGGAAAAGAAGTCATCTAAATAAATTTCATGTCAGCATGTCCACGTTGAGACAGCAGGAATAAATACTTAAAGCATGCTTCATAGAAGATGAAAAATAAAGAAGAAATAGAAAGAAATTCATTGACATTGCAATGCACAAACACAAGATCAAACTCTCGTGAGATCTTCATGCCTTGGGATAGGTTCGGATTTTCTTCCGCACGCAAAAATACGAAGAGCTATGAAAACAAATTAAGTTAAAAACAAGTAGTTGAGTATAGCGTATATAAGTATTAAAGACATCAGAATACATATGTAATTACATGAGAAATATATCATACAAGCTATGCCTGGAAATCTTGAAATAAGAAATGTAGTAAACATTCTAAAGTATAAATGCAAACAATTAAAGTCCATGACACAATTCAGTTATCATTCCGCATTTGAGCCTGATAACATTGTATATTCCTTTGAGTTTTGCATGACTAATGTAAACAATAGTTGCTCTTGAAAGTCAACTAAATCATTTGAAAATCCCGGATCGTTCACTTGTTACGTTTTATTGGGTATAGGATCTAGATTTTTGTAAAAAGGTTTTTTTTCTCAACCAAAAATTGGACCTAGCGAGGAGGGGGAGGATATAAAAAGTCGTAACAAGTGATCGACCCCAAACTGCATATTTGATCAATTCAATGATGAATTACAGACGCTGTGAGAGTCTGCGTAAAGCCACATTAGAATTAGCAGTAAGCATTAAATAGTTACACTCTAAATAGCACACAGTATTAAAAAAATATGTGAATACAAATCAAAAACCTTAAAGGAGCGTAAAAGTGACGGATACACGATCATTATTCTCGAGGTCTTGGAAAAAATAACATACACATTTCATACTTACCAAGTGAGTTTAATATTTTTGCCTACGTCATCCATCGAGTCGGAGCATATAGACTGCGTGCAAAAAAAAATCATTGCAATTATTCTCTTTACTATTCTTTTTATTATTAATATAAATACTTGCATATGACTCAAAATGAGTGAAAATAAAATGTCATTGACATAATTACGAAAAATAAAAATTTTGCAGCTTGAAATGTAATTTATTTGCATTCATAAAAGATTTTCCTCTGTAATTTTCACATTTTTTCGAAGATCATAAGTGCAATCTTGTTTATTTTATTTTCACGAGATACTTTTCATCACATTGTTAATTGAGAATTAACGGCTTTTCTTTTTAAGTACTCGAGCAGAAGGAAATTTTCTATTAGCTAATTACATGTAACGTTCAGCCTTCATAATATTTAAATTGAAGCATGAGAACAGTATTTAATAAGTACCACATCGTTTAGCTTCAGAAAGATTAAAATTAAACAAAGCTTTGCTTCAAGAATTTCACCAAGCTCAGTTTCGAAAATTTCACCACAAATCTAAGCTTTGAGAATTTTATATAATGCCCAGCTTTAAGAATTTCACCACAAAGCTCAGCTTCAAGAATTTCACCACAAAT